CATCCTTTACTTTCTACCACTTTAGCATTCATTCTGTATTTCCTTCCTTTCTGACTTTAAGGTAAGTATGTAAAAATGTTTAATTAGAATTTTTGAATTCATGTCCCCCATTTTCAATCTAAATTGTTTCCTGATATCAATACCCATAACAAACATGGATGGGGATTTGAAGACTGGCAAGAGGGAAACAAAGGAAACCTTTTAAAGTGTACTAGAGTCCAGGCAATATTGAAAATGTACTCTGTCAAAATACATTGGTAACTGGACCATTGAGCACACTTATCCTTACCTAAGTACAGAAAGTAACTTTATTTTAAAACACCACAAAACCCATGATTAGCAAAAGTCATGTTGTGCCCTTCATCTGTACACACAGGGTGCAATCCTGGCCCCACTGAAAAGTTACTGAGAATTTGGAGACAGGATTTCACCCACAATCTCTGTTGACATTAATGGGAGTTTACTGCCTGCATATCCATGGTCACATCAGGCCTTATTACTATGCCCTCTGCCCCAACTTAGTAAAGCTCTTAGACACATCCTTAAGTTAATACTAGAGCGGATTAAACATTTTTGGACTAATAGTGTCTTTGCTGAAAAATTCAGGTTTGGTCAACGTGAAATTGTTGAGAATTTGACATGAATTTGCCAAATAGTTTTGGCAACCAAAGGGGGTGTGGGGAGTTGGAGGAAGGGGAAGGCTTCCTCCATTTTAAAACAGTTAGCTGAGTGATTTGGGCATTCACCTGGGATGTGAGAAACCTGTGTTCAGTTCCCCTCTCTGCCTGATGTAGAAAAGGGATTTTAACTTTGATCTTCCCCATTTAAATAGAGCCCTCTATCCACCAAGCTATGGAGTACTGTAACTATGGAGTATCAATCTGTCCTGTTGAAGCTGCTCCACTTTGCATAAATCGGAGCAAGGTTTGAACTTGACTCTCCCACAGCCTAGGTGGATGCTCTAATCACCCGGCTATAGAGTCATTCTTACTCTAATTCCCAGGCCCAATAGCTAGTGGCAGTGAGTTGTCATTCATAGTTCAAATCCATGCGCCAGTGACTTTAGCTATTTATACACAGTGCAATAGCTTCAACAGGACAGATTGAGATGGACCTACATCAGTATATCCTGTAGCACAATGGCTAGGGTACTGTCCTGTAACGTGGGAGACCCAAAGTCAAAATCCTTTTCCATATCAGGCAGAGTGTGGAGTGGTACCCAGGTCTTCCACATCCCAGGTAAGTACCCTAATCACAATGCTATCAGTTATAAGTGACTGCTGCCTTCTCCTCCTCCACTGGAGAAAATATTTTTTCGATTGATTTGTTGGACCCTAAATGATTTTTTTCTCCCCCCAATTTGCTGGGTTGTTTTTTGTTTTGTTTTGTTTGTTTGTTTGTTTGTTTTTTTTGCAATTTTTATATTCAGTTTGACTTGAACTGATTTCCCCCCCCTCCCCCATTTTTTTGGAATTTCCAGTGTACTAAAACATCAGTTATTCACCCATCTCTATTCAGAACAACACTAAACATTCAGAATCTTTCAGTGTTTAGTAGTGTGTAAAGGGTTTGATTTAAATTGCAGCATAGCAACTATAATCGGATAAATGTTTAAATACAACTTATTTCTTTAGGAAAATGGATACCAGTAAAGAGTTAAATTCAAAGAATGCAGTGTGTGTGTGTGTGTGTGTGTGTGTGTGTGTGATTCTAAATCCAGAGGTGTTATATTTCCTTTGTTGGCACTAGTTTCTGCTGAATGTACAGGATACATATGGTGAAGACTAAACCCTTCTGTTAACAGTCTGAAGTGTTTTAACAGAACTGTGTGGCATGCAACATCATAAAACTTAGTCAAAAGATTGTATTAACAACCATTTTATAACATCAAAGCATATTAATTTTAAGTATATTGCTTACTTCTTTGTTTCCAAAATGTATCAATCAACTTCAATTACAGAAAAGTCTAACCTGATCAATTCATTTCACAAATGGTAATGTGCAGAACTAGGTTAGATCTTGGACTCCTAATTTGGGGAATTTATTTGCAGTAAAGATGGGATATGTTTGTGTATATGTGTAGTATGATGTAAGCTTTTCCAGGCAGTATTTGGTATTCACTAGTGCTGCTCCCAGGGTTCACCTTATGGAGTTAGGTCTGCATGCTATGTTGAAAGGGAGGGGTTCCTAGCCTGGTGAAGTCGGGAATCTTAAGGATCCACAGGGCAACACAAAGCATAAGCACATGGATCTCCTAGAATGACTTTACCCTTCACTGTGGTCTCTTGTGGGCTTCTCCCTGCCCCATTCACCAGCCCCTCAATAGCAAGACACTTCAGCAGCTGAGTTTGGCACTCTGTTCTGCCCTGCCTTTTTCTGTGAGGGTGGTCATAACTGCAGAAAGGAGGCTAGAGCTTTAATCTCATCTCAGAAATCTGCAGGGTCTCAAGGTACTCATGCTATATAGAGTGGTTCCTTCCTCCCTGCATATGTAAAGTTTCCTCAGAAGCACTTTATGGGCTCCCCAGAACAGGACATACAGCAGAGCTGCTGCTTCCCAAAGTCCTATCTAATTTTTTTTGCTCCTTTTGCCTATGTAAGGGGAGGTGAGCATCTGGTCCCCCATTTGTTCATTTCCAGTTAACAATTCCAAGCTGCTCCCTAGCGTGCAGGTGACAAGAAAAGGGATGGAATGGTCAGCCTCAGCGAAGAGGCTTGGCAAATGCTTTGTCTTTGAGTGTATGAAATGTTTGAAGCTTGCCAGTGTTCACAACAAAATGGGAAGAATGGTCAGAAAATGTTAGATAGAAAAAAGTACTCACTACAATGGAAGAATGAAATTGCTGGAAAACTGAGGACAGTTTTGACCATAATTGAAAGGATTGTGATTTATGCTACCCATTTCTTGAAGAATAATAGTTGTCTGTATAGTTGACAGCTGTTGTCATGTATAGGAGTTACTCATATTATTTAGAAGTGACTGTCCATTTTGTTGGTGTATGTAGGCTAGAATTCTTTTGTGGCAGAGTATTTGCTAGCTATGCCAGATAGAAAGAAATGCCAGTAGAAGTAGATATCTATAAGTAAAACTGGAAACTTATTGATGTAAATTTTTTGAGTTTCAAGCTCTACTTCTATCAGGGCTGTGACACAAAATAGATAATTTTTTTTTCAGTGTAGCAATTCAGTTTTCATTAGTTGATTGATAAGTTTGTGATGTTTTTGTTATGAAAGGTGTGTTTATAATAAAAATAGTGGTAACATGGAACTGGTAGTTAGAAGACCTGAATTCTATTCTTGGTTCGGCCACTGATTTACGGCCAGACCATGAGCAAGTCACTAACTTCTCCATACTTCACTTCTGCCATGTGGAATCAGGATAATAGTACTTACCCATAATTGCAAGTGCTTAGAGAGCCTCAGATAAGAGGTACTGTGGAAGCTCAGTGTGGAGCAGGGGTGTAGTCATGAGTGGGCGTGGGTGGGCCACGGCCCACCTTCTAGCCCCGGCTCGCCCCCCTCTACCTGCCTGCCTGGTGCTCCAGCCTGGGAGCGCGGCCAGGGGCTTACCCAGCTCCCTCCGCCTGCCCGGTGCTTCTGTCAGGGAGCAGGGGCGGGGCAGGGGAGCTTGCCCTGCTCCACCCGCCTGGCGTTCCTGTTGGGGATTGGGGACTTGCAGTGGGGCACCCATTTTTCTGGGGACCCCCAATTGGCTGGGGCCTCTGGCCATACCCCTTTGGCCCAGTAGCTAATCTGCCACTGGGAGTAGGGCGAGCTTCAGGTGACCCCGTGGAGGCAGAGGAATCCTCAAAAAAGGTAGGTCTGCTGCTGCTTGGGGAGCCAGGCCCACCATGGAACTGGGCGGGGGCCATTGCCGCTAGAGCGTGGCTTCTCCTCCCGGAGGTGGGTGCGCACCTGGACGGTCCTGGCCAGAGAATCCATCACCCCCCCCCTCCCCCGCAAGGCGTGGAGGGAGGTGGTTGGAGGGAGGTGGGCCCCAATCCCTCCCCGGTCATTTCCTGCTCACTTTAAATGCCCCATCCTGGCGATGCCAGTGGTGTGGTGATGGTGATGGTATTATTTTATTTCATTTTCATGTGAATGTGTCTCAATGACTAATGTCATTAGCCTGAACCTAGGAAGGATTAATTTGGGTAGGACCTCTTCCTAGTCAGATATTAGTGTCTCTATTCCATCCTCCTCCTCCTTGGCCTCTCCACTGCTTTGGATACTATTGATCTAACCTTTCTTCTCGACATCTTATTCAAAATGCTCGTCACTTTCCCCATTCTCACCATCACTCGCTCACATAACCAGGTGTTTGTCTTTGACTCCTCTCTTCCTATTGCAATACCAAGCCATGTGGAATCCCCATTACGTCTTCCCTCATAACATCTCTAATAATCCACCCTTTTCTTTTTTTCCCTAAAGCTAAAAATATTCGGCTCCATGTCATCTCCTTTCTTGATTACTGTGAACTCCTCCTTATTGGCTCTGCACCATAGATTTCCCTCTCGTGGCCAACCAAACCAACTTTAAAGCTGTTTTGCACTGGTGGAGCAGCTTTAATTTAACACAGGGGAGGATCAGTGCCTAGTCTAGAGTCCTAGACTAGCTGTATGCTTCTGCTAAAATGATTGACAGACATTACAATTGACTTTTGAGTGAATACCCCCCTGCAATGAGTGGGGTCAGCTCACATATGTCTTTGTGTGTGAGATGTAGACATTCAATTCCCATTGGCTCATAGGAGCTGTACAGATGTATCTGAGAACAAAATTGGATCTGCTGTCTAGACACTATAACAGCTCTACTTTGGTTCACATTCCAAAGGATATCTTCACAATTATAAAGACTAGAAACTTTTTTTTTAATGAAAGCTTAAATTCTGCAGACATGTATGAGACCACCAAAGAAGAAGTCCCGGTTGGTTACTGGCTCAATCTCCATCACAATTACTTTTCTGCAAGGACTGATGAATTACTCTTTTATATTTACAGGGCTAATTATAACCACATCAAGAAAGCTAGATCGAGAACAGCAAAGTGAACACATACTGGAGGTAAATGATTCTTTTAGATCTCTGAAATATAACAACTGCATAGAACATAGAACCCATTAATTTACAAGGAATAATATTTACCATATGAGATACTCTACATAATGAATTCAGGAAACAGAATTAGAGAAAGAAATTAATCCTTATTTTTAACAAATAACAATTCACGGAACTAAGCACCTGATAGTAACATAGTGTGTCAATATTGTTGTTATTTTTAGAACATACGTAAGACAGAACTAACATGCATGCTAATTTTTTACCCTGAAACTGAGGTGGTGTGGTTCTTCCAAATATGGCCTGAGATCAGAGGCATTGCCATGGAAATACTTTGGTTTTCTTTTCTTTTTTTGCTGTCTATAAATGTGAGAATAGTTGTTTCAAAGCTGCCTTTTGCTGAATGTGACTATATATCTCCAAAAGACGGATGCAGACTTTTAATGTTAGAATATATGGATGACATGATAGAAGGATGACATGGCATTTTTCCACCTATTGTAATACAATTATCTGTCACATTCAAAACTTAAGGATAATTCTGCTTGGGAACCTGCATTTTGACTTGAACACATGTCTGGTAAATTAATAGGTAAAATATTAAACATGTGTCTTGTGGATTCAAAGTCCAATAATCTAGGTATGAAACCCTTGCCCGTTTCCTTTGCTTACTTATATCTGCTTTTAATGGATGAGCTGGAGTTTAGTGCTCAGCTAATACCATCTATTTGTTCTGGAAAACATTATTTAGAACAGAAATTCAAAAGATTGTGCTATATATAACCCAAATATACAACTAGATCAATATTTTGTGCTGTTAATGTGTGTGTTGCAGTTTCTCTGACATGAAACTGCCAAATTTACATTTGTATGCATTCTGTAAAAGTGTAGACCCTGTCCTTTATTCAACTTCATTAAATGTGATTTGCCAAGTAGTGCATCTGTTCCCATTTTAAGAGTTGGTCTACAGTTTCTGGGCAGATGTAATACTTCTGATCCAGAAATACAATGAAAGCATGCTTGTTTTTTTACTTTTTCTAGTACAATCCTTTGTTAACAATCAATAACTGAGCTGTTACTTGAACTTCTCAACACAGTTTATAAGCATTATAAACACCAATTAAATCTCATGCAACCCCTGGATAAGAATTACTATACCACTCAACCAGAGGGTGGCTTTTTGTTTAATTAGTGGGGTGGGTTAATTCGCATCAAGTAGAAGTACAGAGCTGACCCTTTGCTGAAAACTAACAATAGAAAAATCTGATTGTGGTGACAAGTGTGTTTGAATGTCAGGTGGATGAATCAAAGCTCCAGTTACCTGCTCAGGAAGGGGAGTTGGCTTCCTGCTCCTCCCTCAGTGTATTCCCCCAATATGGGCAGTCTGCGCAGGAGAGTAAGAAGGTACTTTCCACCCCTAAACCCTCCGCATAAACACATAGATTGACCTACAATCTTGTCCAAACTAGGTTTGAGAGCTCATTCACATATAACATCATAGTATCTGTTCCATCGGTCTTCATGTTATAGGTCACTGTTTTCTTCATCTGCCCAATAAAATCCTAGGTTCTGTTAGATAAACATCTTTGTGGTACAATCCTGTGTGTTAATTCATGAATCTTGCAGAATATGATGTGTTAGATGAGCCCTTCTTTTGACTGTCTTATCTCATCACCTTTATTGATATCCCAGAGTTTCATCAGCCTGGAACTTATGTCTGATCAGGTTTTGTTCTTGATCTTGATCAGGTTTTGTTTTGTGGGTCATATTTAATATCCCATCCAGTATATTTCAATTTCTTCTGGTTCTTTTGTCCTTGTAAATGGAAAAGATGGTTGAAATTTTCTCTTCTTGTTTAAATTCTTGGATTACTTAGTGCTCCCACACCACTTGCTTTCTCAGTGCTGTCATGGCACAGTGCTGATTCCAACATCCACAGTGAAGGCACTGATATTCACAGTGATATTTACAGTATATCTAATACTTCAGTGGACATTTACTTGTTCCTGAGCTCTAAGGCGATAAAAAGGGACTGCAGTGTCAGCTAGAGAAACTAACAATAGGACTGCATCATCAATCTTAGGTTTAATCAAAACTTAGAAAGACACTAAGCCTCTAGAAGGAAAAATGCAAGAAATAAACTAAACCAGATATCCAGGAATAAGTTCTCTAGTATATCATCTGTGATCCCCTGAATTCTTCTTACAGCACAAGAGATCTCACTGAATTGGGCTTCACAATGTGCTGGTTGTGCACACCACCTTCTTGACCCATGTCTACATCGGTGAAGCTGGGGGTTGAATTTAGGCCTTCAGTTCCAATTGAAGGGCCAATTTTTGCCATCAATTTGGTTTTCTTATCACCTTTGGAAACAACGGGATTACACAGCTCTAACAATAGGGCAGAATTTAGGCTGCAGAATATTTTACTAGTAACAATGAACAGGAAGATACACAGCTTGAATTACAGAGCTCAGACTGAATTTGCAAGCGTGATGTATTAGTTGGAAAAATCATCTTTGTACATGTAAATCTGCAAAGCCATTGCATTATCCGCCTTTAAATCACTTCCTAAAACCCACTTATACTGTGATCCCTACAAAACAGTTGGGATTGGTTAGGCAGCTGCTGTTTGTGCCCACTGCTTATTACACTGGTTATAATCATGTCAATGTTAGGGTTCCCTACTTTCACCATTATTTGTTGTATGCATCTTTTGTTTCTTGTTGTATGCATCCATAGATTTCAAGGCCCGAAGGGACCACTGTGGTCATCTAGTCTGACCTCCTCTATAACACAGTCCATAGAACTTCCCCTTTCTTTCACTTGTTACATATTATAATTTTTAAAAAATTTCATAGCTGCCTTCACTTGCCTTCTAAACCAGGTGGTATTTTAACCTGCATGGCCTTCTTCCTCAATTGTGAGGTTGTGGCTAGTTGAGCATCTAATAAAGTTTCTTTAAACAATTCCCAGTTATCATTCACACTTTTCTGATTAAATTCTTCCTCCCCAGCTGAGTTGGATTCATAATTGTTTTCAACTTTGTGAAATTGCACGTAGTAAAGCACCAAGCCATATGTATTACTGGTTTGGATTTTGTTTGGTTTGCATATTATAAATATGATCAAGTCATGATCACTTGTACCTATTCTAACATTAATTTTTAGTTGTGTGATCAGTTCCGCTTTGTCAAGACAAGGTCTAACAGAATTCCCCATGTTGGGTGCAATACTTATTGAGTTAGGAAATGATCATCTATTATACAGGCGAGTCTCATCTTACACGGGGGTTCCGTTCCGCGGTTAGCGCATAAAGCGAAAACCGCGTATAGTCAAAATTACAATGAATTGAATGGCGGGCAAAATCGCCCGCACTACAGGTACAGTATTAAAATTGTTACGTTTCTCTCTGTTTTTTTTGTTTTTGCCGACCACGTAAAGCTGAAATCGTGCATGTTAAATACGCGTAAGATGCGACAGATCTGTATTTAGAAATTCCAAGGATGTTTTAGTGCTGGCAGCATGAGACCTTCAACATATGGCACTCAGAATCCCCCCCATGATCACAAAGTTTTTCTTCCCCCCCACATGTTATAGATAGATGTTTGAGGAGGTCATCCTGTTCCCTAGTGTGAAATGGTGATCGGTAGCAGATGCCAGCCAATTCCCATCTTGTGTTTTATCTATTAGGACATTGATTCATGAGTTTTCGAGATCATTCCGAGTTGCCAGTGGCTAGGAAACAAGTAATGCCATTTTTGATATAGCGTGCAACTCCCCTCCCCTTTTGCCCATTCAGTCCTTCCTAAATAGGTTATAGCCATTGATTTTAACATTCCATCCATGCAAATCATCCCACCAGGTTTCAGTAATACCAACTGGATCAAAATTTATGCTAATAAATGAGCAATTGTGAGACCTCATGTTTATTACCCAGGCTGCTAGCATTGGTGTATTGACAGCTAAAGAATTTCTTCTTGTCATGTCCTTTGGTTCGTTTGATTAATTTTGTTCTCAACAGTTCAATTTTGTGCTGCCTCCTCATATCTTCTGTCTTTTCATTCACTACTTTTCTATTTAGTTTAACACCCTCCTGATTACTCTAGCCAGCCTGTCCCCAAGGATTTTGGCCCCCTTCTAATGAAATGGAGGCCATTGAAACTATACAGCCTCCTCTCCCACAGAAAGCAGACCAGTCTTTCACAAAATCAGAAGCCTTCAGCCCATGCCACTTACCAAGCCAGCGGCTCACTTCCAGAATCTTCTGCCTTCTGTCTTCCTTTGGTCGTGGGTCACGAAGGATCTCTGAGAAGATTGCATGTACACTCTTCTTCTTTGCACGCTTCTGAGTTCCTTAAATTCATCTATGATCTGTGATATGACCCGCAACACACATTGTAAGCTCTTTGGAACAGGGATCATCTTTCCATTATCTGTGTAAACAATGTTTAGCAGAATGTGGCCCTGATCCTTGATTGGCCTCTGGTTGCTATCACAATACAAATAAAAGATAATAGCAAATAACTTGTAAACTGAGCAAATTTGATCTGAAGTAAATTCAAGACAATAGGACACGATTTTTAGATTAGGACTTCACCTAGCATTATATAAATATTACTTACTGTAATGTGCTCTATGCAAACAATAATAATAAAAGTACTGATTCCTCTTTGGTTTTGGTTATTGGTTATCTCCTGGTATTGGTATACGTTTTCCTTTAGTTCTCCTTTTCCCTTTCTAGGCCATTGTGACCTAATCAATAAAGCTTAAAATTAGAGTCTGCAAAGTATCAAAGGGAAAATTATTAACCATTACAGTATAATGAAAGCAAAAATCTGAATTAGACATTTCCCCATTTGTTAATTTTATGCTGATAACCTTGAAAATAGGTTGGGAAGAAACCCAGAAATTCACAGAATGGTGGCAATAATAAAATGCTGTGCATCTGGCTAATTAATTGAGCGTTGAAAAGTCCAGATGGGTTCGTGGGTTTATTCCTAGTGTGCTATTAAAATTGATCCTTGATTGCACTCTTGTTTGCATAGTAATAAATAATGTGCTCCATTCTGTTTGTTTCTAACATTTCCCTATTTTATATGTGTGCATTAAATGATGTTTTTCTTTTAAATATATCTAATTTAATTTAGGCTGTCTTCATGTTATCCTTTACTATTTGATTTCTGTTTTACCTTTCTTATCACTAAAAGTGATGCTTTAGTATCAAAATTCACATTTAAACAATTGTTTTACTTAGTTGTTGTTAGTAATACCTAAGAAACCTACAACAGATCATATTTGACTTTCTTCAGTTTTGCAACTTATTTTGTGGGGTAAGGGTAATGCTAATTTTTTTGCAATCAGATCTGTTATTCTGTACAACCTGGCATTGCCTGTTCTCTTGTTTCCAGCATGATTTCATCATACTTTAGCTTTACTCTAGAAGCATGTGTGCAGTTTTCTCCATTCACCTTCTTAAGGGAAATAGTATTTAATAGTGCAGGAAAGCTGCCATATATTTGGATACGAGGATGAGTAAATGTAATTTATATTGTTTAATGTATTTGTCACTGATAAAATGAAGAAGTATAAGTGCTTAGATTTATTATTTATACTTACAAATTGTATTATACTACCTTTCCAATCCCATCCTTACCCAGAAGTCAAACAACCCTTCCCTCTTCATGTTTAGACAGTCAGGGTGAAATCATATCCCCAGTGAAGTCAATGGCCCAGCTCCCATTTCATATTGAGATTCCAATCTGATGTTCCCCTCTCCCACAATCTTCATGTTCATCATATCCTTGCCTCCTGCATCATTTTCATATTCAGACTCTTGAGGTCATCCAACTAATTTGTGAAAGGATCTGGAAGAAAACCTTCTGTTCTCCCCTTTACTGAACCCCACACCAGTATTCTCCATAATCCCACAGCAAGCAGCTCAGCGGCAATCTTCCCTAGAGCAAGTTCTCAACAGTATTGCAGAAACCCTTTACCAGAAGAAGTTTCTCTTACTGACAGAGTTCTTCTCCCCCTTAAAATCCCATATAGAATTAAACTGATGTAGGGAAGAAATTTCCCCCAGAACTTACTGGCAGAGACCTTGGGTTTTTCTTTGATTTTTTTCCATCGAGCAAGTATCCATTTGAATAAGGTGATCGTATTCCCCACTATCAGTTTCCTAGGATTACATCCTGGTGACCTTCAGGCATTCCTATGTTATAACAAAGAAAGATAAAGTAAAGCAAAGACATAGAACACAAAGGCAAGGAAAGAGAATCAAGAAGGAAAAAAAAGAGTCAAAGGAAAGAAAACTAGTAGAGGACACAACAGATAACATGGAAGAAGAGACTGCTTCTCTAGGTCAAAAAGCACTGTATATTATTGTACATGTGTTGTAAGAGAAATAAAAGGCAAAAAACAAAAAGGAAAACCTGAGAAACTGAAAAGAGAAACTAAAGGATGAAAAGAGAATGAGAAAAAAATGAATGAACGGAGCAAGTTTTAGATCTGTTTTAATGAATATTATTCTATACATCTTCATTCTGTTTGTCTGGAAGACATCCACAATATCAACTGGAAGATCTGGGGCAGATGGGCAATTGCAGAATACTTATGAGACTTAAATTACTGCTGTTGATTTTGTACAGGTGTTGTTTTTTAAGAATGCTTATCATGCTAGCAGCTAAATTCTCCCCCATTACCACCCAATTTGTAAACTTATTTGTTGAGTAGAAGGCTGTACATACAGCATACAAACATTGAGCCTGACTCTCTAGCTGTTACATTAATGGAACTGTTCACATGAGTGAGAGCTACAGGGTCATTAAACTCAAATCTGTTATCTCTTTACAACCGATATTAAGGTAATTTAAAATACATATTTAACACCTTGTTGGAATTGCTCTTATATATGTGTTAAATTCATCTATACATTTGGTTCTTTCCCACCTCATAGCTATTGATTTCCTCTTTGCTTTCTAAATAAGTTCAAATTAACGTAACATTTTTGTTATTTATTTATGCATCACTATCCTCAATAATGTCAGGTCGGCCCTGGAACTAATGTTGAGAAAGATCACTTATTTTTGTGGCCTTTATAAAAATTGTGACTGTTGCTGGGAGTGTAGGGGTAGAGTTTCATTTCCCATTTCCTTTAAGTTCGGGAAATATGTGTTCTGTGCTTAGTATTTTTTTTTTAATATTGTCTTTTTAATGTTAATTCAAACTGCATAGTGCTTTTATGTCTTAAAGTGTTGCTATCTTTTAATGTATAATCCTGTCAATTTTTTAAAGTTATGCACTTGCTTCTTATAACAATAATTGCAAAATAAAACCTTTAAGAAAATACTATGCTAAAAATATATATAAAAACGTTACTACAATAAAGCCATTAACTGAAAAAGCGTATTAAACTTGCTCGCTGTTGCTGACATTCATGAAGTTAGTATTTTAGCTAGAATGCTGGAAAATAATGCAGTTGCTTTAATGTGTACTTATTAACTCCTACATGGCATGCGTCAAGAGTCAAAATGTTAAGACAAAAAGCTGAATAAATCGAGTCCTTTTTAAAAATATTCATTGAATATCATTAGCCAGCGTTCTTTGAGTAAATATAGTTGAGGAATTATTTTATGGTTAGAATAGAAATCTGTGTGTTTGAAAGGTATTGGATTAAAAAATGCATTAGCATAATCTTGAAAAGACCATGCTTGAGTTGAAGACTAACCTTATTGTCTTTTCTTATAAATATAGGTAACCATTACGGACAATGGTATTCCTGCAAAGTCAACTATTGCCCGGGTGGTTGTGAAAGTCTTAGATGAGAATGACAATAAACCTCAGTTTTTACAAAAGTTCTACAAAATCAGGCTTCCAGAGCGTGAGAAACCAGAACGTGAGAGAACTGCCAAGAGAGAACCTATTTATCGGGTTATAGCTGCAGATAAAGACGAAGGCCCCAATGCAGAGATATCTTACAGTATTGAAGATGGTGATGAACATGGCAAATTTTTTATTGAACCGAAAACTGGAGTGGTATCATCAAAGAAGTTTTCTGGAGCAGGAGAATATGATATTCTTTCAGTGAGTCAAGATCTCATATGCCATTAATCTGTTAAAGTTATCTGTGCTTTCATCACTTGTTATTCAATAGCTGGTGCATGAGTGTTTCCAGTGTTTGCAATTTAACAAATGTCAGACAATACTTGATACTGGACCAGAAGTATTTTTTTAAAACTGTGAATTTAACTGTGTCACTTGCACTGAGATCATGAATCCAAGCAGCGCTGTTCTTTTCAAGGGCTAGGATGATGGTGACATATTACAGAAATGAAAACAACAACAATTGAGCTTTAACTTTCTTCAAGGAAGCTAGTGAAATGAGTGTGAAATTTATGATCACCAAAGGTACAAACCTGTGAGGAGCTGAGTGCCCTCAACTCCGACTGGCTTCCTAGGTGTTTGAGGGCACATAGCACCTTTCAAGAGGCACTCAAACCTTTTCAGATCTGTTTGCTAGTGATGACTCTATTGGGCTTTTTTGTTATATTTTCATTTATGTGATATAAAGATTACATGATTGCTTTAGCACAAAGTTGTCTTTTTTTGTATTTCATAGATTAAGGCTGTGGATAATGGTCGCCCACAAAGGTCCTCAACTACTCGGCTTCATATAGAATGGATTTCAAAACCTACACCACCCACAGACCCTATTTCTTTTGAGGAAACATTTTTTTCCTTTACAGTCATGGAAAGTGATCCGGTAGCTCACATGATTGGTGTAATAGCTGTTGAACCTCTTGGCACACCGCTCTGGTTTGACATTACTGGTAAGGAGGCCTTAAAGTTATTCATTATTAATATATATTGGTGAATGTTGTGCTAGCTGAGATTTTGCATTATTCCTTGCAGCATTTTTGTCTTACCCTAGCTCACAACCTTATAAGGAGTTGAAATTCTCTATCTGTAAACACAAAATATAACATTGCAACATTCTGTTACGACAGCTTTGAAAATGACTTGCAAATATTTTGTATATAAACTAAGTGGAATTGAGTTACTCCTAAAGTTTGTGGCGGGGGAGGGGAAGCAATAAAAACGCCTCTTCTCTGTGCTAGTGAGGGTTGCTGCCCAAGGATAGATTCACCTATGGGAGAGAGCAGGCAGTGTTCACATTGCTTTATTATACCCAGCCCTGGGTTCCTCCAGGAGAGGGAAGCTTTAAAGTGCTGCCAATTCTTGGAGCCAAACTAATGGCTTCTAATAGGCATTTTGCCCCACTGCTGCTCCCTTTCATACCCCATTTTGGGTTGAATTTCTGCCACTGAGGGCAGACACTGTGCTGGTAGAGTGAATTGGGCCCACAGGTGATGGAGCTAAGGGTTTCGGGGAATGGTGCCGCAGCCCCTGGCTTTCCATTATATACAGGGTTTACAGTTTGATTCAATGGCTCTCTGCACCCCCACTACAAAAATTGTTCCAGCACCATGGGTGGCAGGTGTCAAAGGCTGGGAGAGACTGAGCCTCCCCAAACAGCCCTGCATGGCCCCACCGACACTCCACCTCCCAGCACTCTGCTGCAGCTCTTCCCCAGGACCCAGCAACTGCAGGGTTATTTGCTGGATACCCCAAAAAGAAAGAGTGTGGGGAGAATTCAACATGAACCCGATATTACAAATAACTTATTTTGCCACTTATGTCTTTCAAAATCAGAGATTGCAAGGACCTGCTTCTGGAAATATCCCATGATGCACTATGGCTTGTCATATCACAACCTGCCTGATCCGTACATATTCTTGGACTGGGATTTTCAAAGGCATCTGCGGGGATGAGGCACAAAACTCGTTGTAAAGTCAGTGGGAGCCTATGCAAACCAGTAAAGTTGGGTTTCTAACTCCCTTACTTGCCTTTGAAAATCTTAGCCATGTGCATGGAGCTGGATTGTGTTTGAATTGCGAGGGAAGGATTTCAAGAATAGTCATATTTAGTTTTAATTTAGGCTGGCTTCATGTTCCAGTGAGATTTGTGGTGGCTGTGATGTAGTTGTTACTATTAAACATTTACTGAACCATACACTTGTGTGGCACTTTATAAAGAATTTTAAAAGACAGGTCACTGTCCAAAGATTACAATCAGGTTTCAACAAATGCATGAAAATAAAAAAAGGGGAGGGGTATAAAAGTCTTCTGCCCTACACACCTGTGTAGGGGAGAGAGGGAACATAGATGCACCCTTGCATCCCTCTAAGGGCTGTTCGCATTCTTGGTAACTGCATAGGGGAGAGAACAAGCAAGGGACTATTATTCCTATCCCCATGCACACGTGGGTGGACAGTGGAGGGGAATAGGTAAGTTAGGAGGTGGGCAGGGGTAGGATATAAGCAGAGATTTGAGGCTGCTCCCATCAGTATGCCAGCTGGGTCAGCCGAGCCCGGGTGGATGGGAAATGAAATCTCCTGCTGACCACAGGCAGACAGAAGGGAACCATGAAAGGAAAGAGTCATTGAGGCTTAAGTGGGAGATAGTTTCAGGAGTGGTTAACAGAAAGCAAGAAAAATAAGTCCATAGAAGAGACCTTAGACTAGGAAAGAAGGAGGTTATGGGTGACTTTTATAAGGCAGTTTCAGTGGAGTAAAGCAATAGTATTTGCTGGGATGTCTCATGAAACAGGATCTTGTGACCGCTGGTTTTGGAACATGCTATACTTGGGGCCCTACCATATTCACGGACCATGAAATCTGGTCTTTTGTGTGCTTTTGCCCTATTACTATACAGATTTAATGGGGGAGACCAGTGTTTATCAAATTTGGGGTCCTGCCCAAAAGGGAGTTGCAGGGATGTCACAAGGTTATTTGGGGGGGAGGGTGTCACGGTGTTACCACCCTTATTTCTGCGCTGACTTCAGAGCTGGGTGTCCAGAGAGCGGCAGCTGTTGGCCGGGCGCCCAGCTCTGAAGGCAGCGCCTAACCAGCAGCAGAGCAGAAGTAAGGGTGGAAATACCATACAATGCCACCCTTACATCTGCGCTGCTGCCTTCAGAGCTGGGCGGCCAGAAAGTGGTGGCTGCTGACTGAGGGCCCAGCTCTGCAGGCAGCAGTGTAGAAGTAAGGGTAGCAATACCACACCATGCCATCCTTACTTCTGCGCTGCTGCTGCTGGTGGCTCTGGCTTCAGAGCTGGGCTCCTGGCTAGCAGCTGCTGCTTTGCAGCTGCTCAGCTCTGAAGGCAGCGCTGCCGCCAGCAGCAGCACAGAAGTAAGGGTAACAGTACCGCAACCCCCACCCCCCACCATAACCTTGGAACTCCCCCCCCCCCCCAACTCCTTTTTGGGTCAGGACCCCTACAGTTACAGTACCATGAACTTTTAGATTTAAATAGTTGAAATCATGAAATTCACGATTTTAAAAATCCTATGACCATGAAATTGCCCAAAATGGACCCAGAATTTGGTAGGGCCCAAACTATGCTATTGGACACTTTTATCATTTGTTTCCTTTGTTTCAACTACTATGTACTGTGTATAGTGTGTTAATATTCTAATATTTTTCTTTTCAGCATGCTGCATAGCTTAAACATTTAATGTTCATATTTATACGCTTAACCTTTTTGTGAACATACTGAAGACAAGTGACCTTGTCCTGTTGTTGTTCCTTAAGTCCAGCTCCTACTGGGGTTTTGTGTGTGGATTGATGGTAGAACTGGGTCCAGGAGCTGTAACTTGTTGCTTGCATTGTAAGATTTATTTTTTAATAACAAAGTATTTTGAATAGGTTGATAGCTAGGTGACTACATCGCATTGTCAAATTATCAGCTGTTCTTACAAATTCTTACTGTACCTCTTGACTGTTTCTAATAGCATGAAATAATTTCATTGACGACTTTCTTTTATGTTCTGTGCTTGCTTTTCATGCTTTCTTTCTTTTTGGCTGTGCCAGGAGACAAACTTGCTAGTGAAGTTTTTTACATCTTTCAGATGGCTTGTGACCTGAACTGTACAGCAGAAGGTATCTGCTGAGATCACATAATTTATTAACCAATTATGAGATCTAAAATAAAACACACAATTTTAGAATATCTTATTAACTCTTCAAGAATGAAAGTTTGCTTAGATGCTTTTGTGACTTTTTTCGTTTTGTTATGTTATCTGTAAGTACGCATAGCACCACATCAGAATTCTAGTTTTGGATTTTGGCCTAAATTTATGCGTCTGCACCTTTAATTTGCCAGATGGACTGGGTGCTGCTTCAGGAGATTGACAGATATCAGCACTAATAGAATAGTAATATTAGGCAAAGCATCTGTGATTTCCTTGTAAAAACGCTGCAAGACTTGTAAGCTTTCCAGGCCAGAAACTAAAAGTCTGCTGCTGAGATTGTCTTCATTTCAGAAGAAGTGCAACTGGATATGCTCTCATTCATTCACCCTGCTGTTTTACTGTAGTGGTGAATGTAACTAAATTGAGACATGAAATTCTCCCTTTCTGTCATCCAAAAAAAATAATATCACCTACCAGCAGTAAAAGATAATTTTATGGGCACACTTTCTGAAGTTTGACTTCTGGCCCAAAACCAAACCAAAATTTTATATATAAAACCCATTCAAACCAAAACTGCTGCGTTTCACATTGCTCAATTTATATCTGTGTTCATGCTAGGGAAACTTCCTCTGGAACAGGAGCTGGGCTGTAGTGAGACTCCCAAGTCACCAGTACACTTATCATTCATAGTTACTAAATATCTGTCAATCAGTAAGGCAGAATCCAGACCAGGGGTATGCAATAATTTTTGCAAGGGGGCCACTCCACAAATTTTGATAAGTTGTCACAGACCACACACTTCTACTATATTAATGGAGGGGGCGCCGGATCTGGGAGTTTGGGTGCAGGAGGGACCTGTGGTGGGGTGCAGGAGAGGGTGTGGGTTGTGGGCTCTGGCTGGGAGGCGTTTACCACAGGCGGCTCCCAACAGGCAGCGCAGCAGGGCTCAGGCAGGCTTCCTCCATGCAGATTCCGGAAGCGGCTGTGGCCGGCACGTCTCGGCACGCCTCTTGGGAGGAGGGAGGTAGCGGGTCTCCGTGTGCTGCCCGCAAGCACCATTTTCCGGCCAATGGGAGCTGTGAGGACGGTGCTGGGGGCGGGGGCAGCGTGCAGAGCCGCCTCCCACCTCCCCCCCCCCAGGGGCGCACAGAGACATGCCTGCAGCAGCTACCCACTTCTGGGAGCAGCGTGAGGCCACGGCAGGCAGACAGCCTGCCTGAGTGCCCCGCTGTGCCATGGGACTTTTAGTGGCCTGGAGATCACGAGGGGGCAGCCAAAGAGCCTGGCGGGCCAGACAGAAATGTTTTGCCCACCCCTGCTCCAGATGTCTATCCTTATCTAATCTATCTGTCCTGCAACTTCTGAAGGCAAACGTTTTCAGGAAATGGAACTAATTTCAGTATTGTTCTTATTTTGATTAAGTAGAATTTTACCATCCCTGATATTTCAGTCCCTCATTTCTATGCATGTCTCTTTATAGTTGAAATGCAATGATTTCCTAATATATGCATTTAATATCTTAAAAAAATCTCTCCGCTTATGTCTAAATAATATGCTTTTAAATATATAATTAGAAAAACATATGCACAGTGTAATTAGGATAAATGGGTTAGCCACAACTAACATTACGTTGACAACAATAGAAACTAATTTCTTCATTTTAAATAGTTTATCTAAAAGTCTAAACCAATTGATGTTAATGGCCAGTATTTATCACTGCTAACAACATTTGGTCTTAAAAGCTAGTATGTTGTCAGGGAAAACTGGTTAGAGTAGCACAAATATTATTATGATCAACTAAACATTTAAATGATTGGCTGTTGGTTACTGAGCTACATTTCAACATGATTATTGAACTATATTTCTTAGGTCAATTTGAAGTTTTATAAGTAAACAAATTTGTTTCAGAAAAGGAGCTTAGTGCCTTTCAAGGAGCTATGTTTTTGTGATTTTTCTCGAATTTTTCCATCTTTTGGTATTACCTCCTCTACCTTGACCTCAAAGACCCTAATAGTGACAACCCTCTTGGTTAGGAGGACTTGCTATTCATCATAGATTTTAAGGCCAGAAAGGATCTCCTGCAAAACAAAGGTCATATAATTTCAACCAGTAATTCCTGCAACAAACTCAGTAGTCTGTGTTGGAGCTGGAGCATATCTTTAGAAAGGCATCCAATCTTTAAATCAAGATTTCAAAAGGTAGAGAGTTGAGAATCTTCCCACAGGATGCAATCAATGCCATCCCATGAGTCAGCAAAGAAGCTCTATCCAAAGCCATATGAAGGATTAACTCATACCCAAGCTTAAATGTCCTAAGACAACAAAGTGTACGTACCCGAGAAAGTACATCACTGCAGTGTTTTATGAACTTCTGTCTCTTTCAATTTCTTGAACCAGGTGGCAACTACGACAGCCGGTTTGATGTAGACAAGGGCACTGGAACCATCATTGTAGCTAGACCTCTTGATGCAGAACAGAAATCAAATTACAACCTGACAGTAGAGGCGACAGATGGAACCAGCTCTATCAGCACCCAGGTAATGGATTTCTAATAGTGTTTGTTAGAAGAACTTGTGAATGAAGAACTTGTAGCCCTTCTTTTTCTGGACATGCATATGGTATGTATAAATTAGGGACTGCATCTGAAAAAGAAGTGGATTATGATGTTGATACTGCCTTAGTGTTGGGCATCTGAAGTGGAAAGGTTGTGTAAATAGATTAGTACAATTTGAATTAACAACTTTCAAATTATTCTTATAATATCAAAGTAAATGAAATACAGGAGCTCAGCCTTACATATGTGATTCACTTACAAGAAAAGGATTAATAATTTTTAAAAATCAGCAACCTCCATGAGTGTTTCAGCAAGGCATTAAATCATTGCAAATCACTTTGCGAGCTGTGGATAGAAAACTTTCAGTATAGAATCAATATCATTGTTATTCTGCAACAAAAAGCTAACTGCAACATATTATGAGCCATCTCTTCCCCCTCCTGCATTAAAAGCCATGCGAGCAAGTTCCGTATGATGACATTTCAGTTAACATATCCATTGTGGAGATTCCCTCAAATCACCTTTCAGGGGAGGTGAGGTTTGCCACCTATAGAAAAGGGTGTAGGGCTGGAGGACCCATGAGAGGCCATGTGTCTCTGTACCAGCTCTGGCTTGCTTGGAACTTCACTAGCAGGGAGTTCTCCTTGGCTTGACAGCCTTTGGGGAGGTTACACAGAGAAGAAAATGCAGCCTGTGGCCAGAGAAGATAAGAGGTGTATGACCAGAACCCATCCCATTCTCCTCCCCAAGTGTGGACCTGGATGCACAGAGAGCACTCCGCCAGGTCCAGGTTGCAGTGGACAATGCCATGGAGGTGGCTGAGTCCCCCTTCCACATTGAAGGGAGTAGATCCACTCATCGAAGACCCCTGAATTGGACTGGAAGAGTATGATATGATTCTCTGTAATCTATAGTAGCTCCTCAGTTAGAGCATGAAGTATGCATCACTTATAGCTATTTATCTTTTGTTTTCAATTAAATGTGGAAAAATTATTTAATGTGACGTATAGGTTAAAGTAAAGTATACAATTAAAATATAAATGTCAAGAAAAGCTAAAGTGAAGGATTGAATACCATTTCCTTCCTGCAGCATTGCACACTCCTGCATGCATTTATGGCATATGTGTTATGACACAAACAGCATTATATGAAGCTACATAATAATTGATCAAAAAGCAGGAGCTACACTAACTACATTTGTACAGTGTAGAGACCTAAAGTTGCTGTTGAAAATTTAGCATTATTTTTACTTGTTAGCACAGCCTTCATATATTAAAAATGTTTTTTTGCATTTCCCTTTCTTTTTAAAAGAGAAAAAAAGTTTAAGAAATGTTTTTCCTTAGTGTTGGAATTTGTCAGGAGCATAACTGCTCTCTATGAACCCCACAAAGCTTAGGGGCCCCTAAACACTAGAGGGAGAATGTAAAAGTTGCTGCTGCTGCCATCAGTGAAAGTGCAACCAAACTTTGGGTCCAGATCCTGGGCTGCATCTGGGCTGTCCTTGGCACAGTTCAAGAGGCGGCAGATGGAAAGGTCGCTGAAAGGCACCCACTCCCGGTCCCTATTCAAGCCCAAATTGATGGTGTTAAGTTTGCAAATGAATTGTCGCTCAGCAGTTTCTCTTTGAAGTCTGTTTTTGAAGTTTTTTTGTTGAAATAGGACTACTTTTAAATCTGGTGTTGAGTGTCCAGGGAGACTGAAATGTTCTCCTTTTGTATGTCATCATTCTTGATGTCTGATTTGTGTCCATTTATCCTCTTACGTAGAGACTGTCTGGTTTGGCCAATGTACATGGCAGGAGGGGCATTGCTGGCACATGCTGGCATATATCATATTAGTAGATGTGCAAGTGAATGAGCCCCTGATGGTGTGGCTGGTGTGGTTGGGTCCTATGATGGTGTCGCCAGAGTAGATATGGGGACAGAGAAGGCAACGGGGTTTGTTATAGGGTTTGGTTCCTGGGTTAGTGTTTCTGTGGTGTGGTGTGTAGTTGCTGGTGAGTATTTGCTTCAGGTTGAGGAGCTGTCTGTAAGCGAGAATTGGCCTGCCTTCCAAGGCCTATGAGCGTGGGGGATTGTTTTCCAGGATAGGTTGTAGATCGTTGATGATGTGTTGGAGTGGCTGGCTCACTACAAAAGCAATTTTCCCTCTCGGTATTGACATGTCCTCAACAATTATTGGGAGTGGACAACATCCACCCTGACTAAATTGGCCTTCAACATTGGTTCTTCACTTGTAAGGTAATTCTCTTCTCTTCATGTGCCAATATGTATTTAGGCCTGTATCTGTAATTTTCACTCCATGCATCTGAAGAAGTGGGTTTTTTACCCATGAAAGCTTATGCCCAAATAAATCCGTTAGTCTTTAAGGTGCCACCAGATTCCTTGTTGTTTTTGTTAGATGCACACAGACTCTCACCCATTGTGTTTAAATGAGCTTGTTGTTCTACATTTTGTAAAACAAGGTGAACTTTGTAAATACTTTGAAATCTCGCCCCAGGAAAATTGGAATGGAAGTAATTAACTTGTCTTCTTTTTTTCCTCTAAATTCACTGATTGCTTCCTGTGGCTTTCTTTTGTTTCTCTCTCTCTCTTTCTCTGGCCTTTCCCTTCTTATCTAGAGTTGGCAGAAGCAGAGGTTGCAGTTTCTTTTGCAGGAGAACACAAAGTCTTCCATTTCATTATCTTTCTCTTTCCTCTGTTGGTGGCATAAGCATGGACTGTGCTGTTAGAATCTCTTATGACTGTGGCACATGGATTGACGAGTGTCCATTAGTAGAAACTTTAAAACTGGTGGTGCATGAACAGAGTGTTCATTGGCTTTACCCTGGATATATCACCTTTCAGAGCTCATTCATCTTCCTCCTCTCTCTCATAATCCCTGCCTAACCCAAATGCACGAATCTATTTAAGAAAGTCCACAGGACACGGTCGGCTCCAGGCAGCAGACGAGAAAGCACGTGCCTGGGGAGGCACATTGTAAGGGGCGGCATTCCGGCCTATCTTGGGGCGGCCAGCCCAGCCTTGCAGGGGCACGGACTCCGGCCCGGGGTGGGGGGGGGGAGAAGCAGGAACTAGCAATCCCCGCCGCTCATCGTGCTGCTGGGTTCCCCGGGACATGCCACTCCCCACCGCCTGCACCGGCCTCCGCCTCCCGCGCTGCTCTGAGCCCGGCCTGGCCGAGCCGCCTTTAAAGGAACAGCTGAGCCAGCACCTCCTGCAGCCCTCGGGCACCGGAAGGAGGGAGGGTTCTGCGGCAGCCCAGCGGGCACCGGAGGGAGGGAGGGTTCGCCAGCGGGCAGTGGAGGCAGGGAGGGAGGGTTCTGCGGCGGCCCAGCGGGCAGCGGTGGCAAGGATGGTTCTGCAGCAACCTGGCGAGCACCGGAGGGAGGGAGGGTTCTGTGGCGGCCCGGCGGGCAGCAGAGGGGCGGGCCCCACTGATCCCAGCACCATTTGCACAGTGCCGAGTCCCGCGTGGAGGTCGCAGACCCCAGCCAGCGCTGCCTGTGGCGGCCCCCTTGGAGCCTGCCTGAGCCTGCCTGGCCAGGAGAGGCACCCCAAGGCCGGAGGGGGCAGAGAGGGGAGCCCCTCTCGCCCGTCTCCAAGCGCGCTGCAGCGCCTGGCTGCCCACGGGTGGAGGGAACGGCCGGGTGCCGCCCTTTACCCCCCTGCAAGCCACCTTGACCGCCCCTCTTTTTGTCTTCAGCAGTCCGGCTGCTTTTTTTTTTTTTTTTTTTTTTTTCCGGGTGGCAAAAAACCTAGAGCCGGCCCTGCCACGGGACTAGAGTTGAGAGGGTATGTTTCAAGAATGCATCCTCACATTTGATTTAACTGAAAAAGAGCTCCTGTGTAGCTCAAAAGCTTTTCTCTTTCACCAACAGAAGTTGATCCAATAAAAGATATTACCTCACCCACCTTCTCTCTTAGTTGATTTCACAGACATGTTAATTTATTTCCCCTGAAAATGAGTTATTTAGGACTACCAATGTGAAAATAGAGTTGCACTTAAATCCTGACACTTTTTGTAGCGATTGTAATTCAAATGCTGAAGTCATGCTGGATCTTTGTAAGAACTGATGAGTAGTAAGCAAACTGTGATAAGCACAAACAAATTATAAATCTGAATATTGTGTTCAGAAATATTAAGTGTAATAAGCCTCCATGGACACCTTTTAACACACAAAATACTTTGACTAAGCACTTGAATACAAAGAGCAGTTTAACAAGCCTTGATTAACAGTAGTAGTTGTTTCTTAAGTAATCTTAAATTTTACCTGCAAAAGGAAATGACTTTATCATATTATTGTATCTGACTTCTAAACTATAAGGCTTTGGTTGGCTGTAAGCCATGAACATCTGTGGAACATTTGACTCTTTCATGACTTTATTTAAATTGCTTGTTTGAAAAATATCCAGGCAGTAGGCGTGAAGCTGTTAGAGTTTCATATGCAGCTAAATGCTGAATGCATGATGCACAAAGAGAATAAACAAATTCCAGGCCTTCTGTAACGATATTTGACCATGGTGGAGATGACTGGGACAATAGCATTGAAAAAAATCAAATGTATTCAAAGTACTAATCCTTTTGGATTATACTATTTTGGCCTTAAATGGGAAAGATTATGCATGGGAAATAAGAACAAATGCATGAACTACTAAATTGATTTTTGTGAAAAATACTGTTTACTACTTCTGCCACTTGTAACCGTTGGTATTGCTATCCATTTTTCAATAAGTAGAAGTAATAGATAAGGTAGTTTAAGGCTAATTACAGCAATTTACTTGTTGCTTTTCTAGAAGCAGAATATTGAATTTTGCTTTATGTAAAATGTATACATGTTATTCTTTGGGGTCAGTTTGGGAAAAGAGGATAGAATGCCGCTCATTGGTTAAATTTGCGTTTTGCTTACAATGACCACACTGCTCAACAGAAACACTTCTCTGTTAGTAGAATAAGGTTACTTTATCTCACAAGCATTAACTT